ATTCAAACACAACCTCAGCTAAAAGATATAAAATAAACGTTTCCTATAGCGTCAGTATGACTGATATTCTTTGCTAACTCAAAATTAAACTGATGCATATTGTCAAATAAGCTCCCTGCGACTGCTGGTGTGCTGGTGGTGATTGTCTCTCACTGGGAAAATGCAGCGTGTGCGCGAGCTTCTCCCCGCTTTGCTCACACGTGCTGGAACAAAAGAGGGAGCGCACGCCTCCTCTCAGCCAACCTCCCCCCGTAATGACAGGAAATGTAATCGATTACACGCGGCACCGAGCAGAGAGGGGCAAAAGGAGCATCGCACTGAGGCGGAGAGGCCACCGAGAGGAGCAGGTAAGGGATGACAAGAACAACACGCCCGTCTCCCTCCTCAGCGGCCCCCCGGTCTGCCTCCATTGACCGCTTCTGACAAACAAGGTCATGCAGAGAGAGCGAGCGGAAGACTTGAAGCAGAGATTTTAATCTACACCTTTGTGAAAATATTGAGCGAGAACATTTATCTTAAAAGGTGGGTTACTAATAATTACTATAAAATGAATTGGGCCGACTCTGAGTTGTACAATCCTCCATAGCAAATTTTAAGTCCTCCTTAATGTCTTAATGTGCTTTTCAAGTCCATTCTGATGTCAGTTCACTTGGGACGGAGTTGAGGTCGGAGGGGCAGCGGGTGTTTGGGAGGTGGTCTGTAACTGCTCCACCTAATGAGTCACAGTGTAAAGATCTGGTTCTTAGCAGGAGGGAAGCCCTTGGTGTGTCCTCTGAGGGTCACATCAGTGTGTTTTTACGTGTGTGCGTGTATGAGGGTGAAGGAAAGGGAACGTGAGATTGAGCAAGTGAGTAAGTGAGAAAGCAGATACATCACCTGCAACATAAATCAGATCCAGATGTGGGAAAAGGAATTCATTTTTCAGACGTGTCAGGCAGCATGACATTGTGTGTGTGTGCGTGTGTGTGAGTGAGTGAGAAATGTTCTAGTTTTTGGCCAGTAGGTGGGGTCAGAGTACAGCAAGATTGAGCTGAGAACTAACACTACTCTCTACATCCAAACACACACACACACACACACACACACACACACACACACACACACACACACACACACACACACACACACACACACACACACACACACACACACACACACACACACACACACACACACACACAAGCAGGGTCGTGTGTGTAGCTGCCCTGCCCCACTGGAGATGAGGTTTACAGGCAGTGAGAAGGTCCAGGAGTTGGACCTAAGAGCTCAGATAGGCATCACTCAGGGGACAGATAAGGACCTTCAGTGTTTGATTAACACAAACATTTAGTGGCAAGTGATCACTAGTGACATCAAATCTTATTCCAGGCATCTTGTGCGTTCCAAACAGGTCACTTCTCTACTAAGAGTTCCTCTTTCTGTTTCAGTTCCCTGTACTCTGTTGGATTGACACTAAGAGCAACCACCACACTTCTGCTTTTCTGGACAGCAGGCAGCGCTAAACGAAAACACTTAAAGCCGCTGACTCTGAAATGCTTCAGGGAGCTTAGAGTGAGTGTGTGTGTGTGTGTGTGTGTGTGTGTGTGTACGTCCTGCTCCAAACTAATGTTTTCATAATTCAGACGCTTAGTGTAGTGAACCAGCTTGTCTCGCGGCGTAACCATGGAGATCTCATTGTCCGCACATTTGTGTGTGTGAATGTTGAGCTCATTACAACGACTCCAGCGACGACAACAGCAATCAACACCAACTCTCAAGCACACGCGTGTGAAACCTTCTCACACACACACACACACACACACACACACACACACACACACACACACGCACACGCGTGTCCAGAAACATTATTCTCCTATTCTGAGATGACAAAACATTTTCCCTGCTTTGCTTTGTGGTGCTTCTCCATCATGACAATGTGATATTCAGATTTGTTTCAGTTCACAGGCTGTGATGCAGACGAGGTGATACTGGTTATTATTAGAGACGACAATGACAGTGAGAAAAGCACCACATTTGTGAAAACAATTTGTATTTGTCAACGAAACGGGGGAGAACAATGGTAAGTTGAATAATGGAACGTAAACCCCTCGAAGGAGACTTTTGGTTCAGTGTTCTTAGCTTACCGGTGTCAGCTAACAGCCCCGAACCCCCTGAAGCTGGACAGGTAGCATTATTGGCTTAGAGTTAGAGAGCTAGAATCAGGGTGCAGGAAAGACTGAATGACATCATCGCCATACTTGTTGGTTCATTACTGCCAGCAACGTCTTCAACACTAAACATCACTGTTGATAAATGAAAATGTATTTGTAATTAAAAAAGTGAAGCCGTTTAAGTCGTCCCACACCGGACCACACCTAATTTTTTCTTTACACGCAACTGAGCTTTACATTATACGTCCCCCCGTCTCGCTGTCTCGAGAATGACATGTGTGATGACGAGTGTAAAGGGGGGACTGGGAGGGGTCTGGTTCCAGATGTGAGTGGAACTCGACAGACAAGAAGGGGCCCGAGCTAGAAAAGGTCAGGAAATGGGGTTCTGACTCAGTGTGTGTGTGTGTGTCTGTGTGTGTGTGTGTGAGAGAGAGTGTACTGTACAGGGTCTGTGTGTCAGGCAGGTCGCCGTACAGTCATGGTAAACTTACCTATGTATAGTATGTGAGTCATGCGGACACAGTGAGTCATAGTAAGACCCCCGATGAGTCAAATTCCCCTCACCCCAAAAGTGTTTATGACAAACTCTTCTTTTAGGACCCTGTTTCCTCCCGGTTTAACAGAACAAAGAGATGACTACAACGTGACCCAAACAAAGAACGTGTGCGTTAGTGATACATCATTTATGAGGGGGAATCCTATGTATAATGTATGCTGGGATGAGATATGATAATGCAGCGTGACCCCTAACCGACAGGGGAAGTGCCTCTATGTATAATGGATGAGTATACGTAATAAATCATGAGAAAAGGGAACCAGCAGGGTGCTGCCGCAGGTTGACTGGGTGGGGAAGAGCAAGGACGCAGGGGACAGCGGAGCATAAGCCTGCCCTCTGGTGTACAGAACCAGCCATTAGAAGCTGCCGAAGGTACCAGACTACAGCCTGCCGACCCCAAACAATCGAACAATTAATGAGGGCAACAATAAAATTGAAATCTCCTTAAAATGCGTTTTTCATGTTAATTGTTAATCATGATAATTGTTTTGATACGTGTCACACTGAAGTGCCAAACATTCCCTGGTTATAGTCACTATAGAGAGATATTTAGTCACAGCCATAAAATAAATGTCTACCCAACACAATCTAAACAGAAGTTGAACAGTACAAACTTTACAAGTCAAGGATGCATTAAATATTGTTTGTTTGGGGTTACATTCATTTCTACAGATTATTCCACCCCTTGTCTGACTAACCGATTCCCAATTTTATCATAAAACTTCCCTACACAATATTCACATCATCATTATAGCAGTAAACAACAATTTGCAATGTAAAGGTATAGAGGAGTAATGTTGAGCTGAGCAGAGAGAAAGAAAGTTGTTCTCCTTTTGTGTGTAGTGTCCGACTTCTCTGTGCTTAGTTTACATGGCCGTCGTCATATTGAGAGCTTTGGAGAGGCCAGATATGCTCGGATTTTCTAGTTTAATTTTTGGGGGGGTTTGAAATGTTAAATCTCTTTTTCGCAATCTCTTAACTTTAGCTCTTTGTTTTGAATCCTGACACAAAACTCTAATAAATCTAGAACCACTAAGTGGAGGCCTTGACCAGATACAAACAACTCCAGAGGGAGCTGAATTGTGTTGTGATTGATTTCCTGGGGACTGGGGGTGCATTTTTGTGGGCACCATAGAGATGTCGAGAGGTGGCCAGTAAAGGAGTATTTTTTGGAGTTCTGCAGCGTTTGCACCCACACGCTGCCAGAATCCAGGTTTGCAGTGAGATAATGTGTTTTTCTTAGCTGTGTTGGGAGTTGGTCAGTGGAACGTGATGCTGTTTGTGTAACTGAATTAACCGGTTGCGTCATACCTCCTGATGAGAGTCCAAAACTAACACCAAATGTCAAGGAAAACAATTCAGTCTAATTCTGAAATCCTCCAAACAAATCCTCTAAACTGAATTCTATTGTGTGGACTTGAATTAATTAACGTCATTCTTCTCGATTGGTCATCAAGTCACAAGGCAACGTGTTTTCAGACTCAGGGAGCCGAGCAACAATATGAAAACAAACAGCATGCGCTCTCTTATGTTCGGTGAGTGAAGAGAAACACTGTTCACAAAGACACAACTCACAACAGTTTCAGACCGACACCCAAACGCATTCACATTTTTCATTACTCGTTACAGCAGATTAAAAAAAAAAAACGAAGGCCAGAGACATTTTTTCCGGTACCCTGCTCAGTGTGTGCTGACCGTGCAGGTGGAAAGCTGTGACATTTCAAAGGTATCACCTATGTGACAACTACTACACAACAGCAGGATTTTCCGAAGCATGCCGATGAACTTCTCTGACAAAGTAACCTGAGTTCACGTGCTGTTTGTTCGATGTGATCTGAACATTAACCCCTTCTTTCCAAAGACACACCTGCCTTCCAGCTCCTGCCGGGGGGGGGGGGGGCCCTATTGAGCCGACGCTGCGAGTGGTCCTCCACATCGCAGCCCCTGCCGGCAAAGCCGACGGGCTCACAGCTGAATTTGGCGGAATTATCTCTGCGAGGGGTGACGGTGACGTCGCCCCCCCCGACTGTGCCAGAGTGCAGCCTTCTGACCTGGGCAGAACCAGCTGCCGGTGTCAGGGGCAGACGCTGTAAGCTCAGCATGTGATGCATTACAGCAGGCGTTGATCAAGGCTCCGCTGTGCTGGTAAACCAATAACTACAGGCCAGACTGCAGCTGTAACAGGTGGCCACAGTCACATCACACGGAACGCTCACTAATGACGCATGCAGCCGACGTCATGAAGATGAATGAAGCAACTTCAAATGGAACAACAACAACAAAAAACGTACCCATTTCCAAGATCATCGATGTCATCCTCATCGTCGTCGTCGTCCTCCTCCTCCTCGTTTGGGCTTCTACAGCCGCGGTCGCTGTTGCCGAGGTAATCTCCCTTCAGAAGGGACGGGTTCGAGTCGTCCAGCGCTTCGATTAGTTGGATGCGAGCGGTGTGGCTGATGCGGAGGGGGACGTCCAACTGGCTGTTACCTGTGGACGGAGCTTCCCCGGCCTGCATTCGGGGGCTGGCTTGGCCCTGGCGCCACGACAACGGCGAGGAGCGATTCGATAGACTGGAAATTGAGAAGGCGGCGGCTTCATCGCTTTCGTAGTACATGTTGCCCTCCGCACAGCTGTGGGAGGAAAAAGAGGGCACGTTTTAGGAATTGAATAAATAATGCATTGATACAATGTGCATTGATGTTACATAGATGTCAGCAAACATGCCTTAATGTTCCTCTGTGCCAAATGCCAGCATCACTAACATTACAACATCAAGCATTCCCTGTGCTAAAGCAGCACCGCTCATATTCAGCATTAACATGGCAGAACATGCATCGCCTGCGACAGGAGGATTGTGTGAGGGATGCACAATCCTCTCCACAAATAACATCAATGGAAACATTTTGTAATGAAATGCTGAAACACGAACACAAAACATCCAGGTCTAGAGAGAAGATGCTACTTCTCTTGTTCGAACTGATTTTTGTTATCCAAACGGTATATATCAGCGAAAGAAAGAATTTGTTTGCTCAAAAATCCATTTGCAAATCTGACATTCTAAACACTCGTTTTTCACCGGAAATATGACTTCTTGTTTGCAAAGGAAACTCCCACCGACAGGCCTTAAGCCTCAAAGCAGAATATGTCTTCAGGGACAGCGGGAAATGAGTCAAGGTTATTATACTGTGATAAAAGTATGAATGGCAAAGGAAATGTATTCCAGCAGGGAACCATCTGCTGATTTGATCTTCGCGTAGGGAGCTCCCACCGAGGGACAGAGAGAGGACACATGGCAGAAGACGCACGGACAGGCAGAGAGAGGGGAAGCTCTCAAGGACAAAACCCACGAAGACTCGCTGAATGCAATGACAGTCAGTCCGTCAATGAAAGACAGGAAACGGAGGGGGGGGTGACACGCGAACGCTCGCTTACACTTAATCGCAGAATTACTGGATGCGCGGTTGTGTGTCTGAGTACGAGTCGTGAGCGTGCATCGGCAGGGCTCGGCTTTGAAGTCAGCTTTGCAGCCTTCTCAGCTAATCCTGCTTCGTATTAAGCAACACGGAGGGAAAGCAGGCAGAGCACACAGAGAAAGGCCGACTAATGGCTACTGGTCCATCAGGAATACTGATATCGATCTGAAAGCCCCCAGGCAGTTAACCGCCACACCCCGACGCAACGTTGGCAATGTCAATAAGGATCTGCCGACTCCACTGATGTGCTCTTTCACTTGTTTTCTTAGTTGGCCCGTGTCTTTTTGTTCCTATTTTACAATGCCATGCACACCTGTTTGAGTGTGTGTGTGTGGCTGACCTGTGGCTGAGCTGAACGCCTCTCAAGCTGGTCATGGTTTCCTCCAGGTTCTGTCGAAGGTCCAGAACATTTTGCACGGTCCTTTTCCTCTGAGACTCCGGGTCTGCAGGAGAGTGTACACACACACACAGGGATGGTGTTACATATGCCATGCTCCATGATTACTGGATGGAAATAAAAACACTGTCTACGCTTTTCATACAGCATGCACGTGGTGTTAACAACAATCGTTACACTGTGAAATATGACCATATATGAGTTTATAATTGCAGACTGATCATTAGTCATATTAGTATCAAAGACCCAATCTAGGATAACAGCAAATCATCTAAATAAAAGAAAGAAACATAAATTTACAACAGGGGAAAATAATGACTGTAGAAAACTACACAAGGAAAAGACGAGACAGAGTAGATAGTGGCACGCACAGTTGTTTTTCCAGATGGCAGTGAAGCAAACTAAATTAAATACGATGGCTGTCAGACGGACAAAACAACAAGGAAGACCTTTAAGACCAGACGGGTCTCACAGTCCGGTCCGTCCAGGCAGTGCACATCTGTCAGTATCCATCTTTCCCTCCTCTCCAAGCCCCCTCAGCCACAATGCCCTGGTGCCCCGTTCACTGGACCTTTTGCCCCTTTTGCCCTTTGCTATCAAAAAACAAAACAATTCTCATTTCAACCCACCGGGGAACATGTTGGCATTTGTCTCCCATGCTGTTGTAATCTGCTCAAATTGAGCTATATGGATTCATGTTGGGCTGCAGACAGACTGCCGCTTCACACATGTGTGTGTGTGTTTGTGTATGGGGATGAGTGTATCATTAAGTGGCTGAACCACTTAAATCAAACACACACTATGTTTCCATCTGCAGAAAAAAAGATTTACATTTTCTTTCTCCCAAACTGGTCAATCTGAGAGAGTGATAGAATACAATATTCTAACAATAGACTGACAATCAGGAGGAAACTGAATGTACTCAATCATATATATTCTCACATAGCCAGTTAACCAATCAGGACACCTAAGCTGCATCACGTGACCTTGACCCTTGCTCTCTCTGCCTCCGTCTCAGTGTATTTGTGTGTGATAGGGGGATGGTAATACAAGAGTTATAGCAGTAAGATATTGGAGAGCCTGTTTATCCCAGAGGTTCCGGTCAATAGACCATTAGAACTCGCCAGCTGACTCCCACATGAGCACAGCAAAATTGTTTACTAGAACAGTACAAAAATGTCAATAACACACCAGTGTACTTTTTCTATCACAAAAATTTGTTTTCAGTTCAATTCTGTCAATCATTTATTTTTATGACGAAACAAAGTGATTTGACTCAGTAAACAAGTGAACAGCAGCAACAAAATACATTTTCTCAGCAGATAATATCAAATTCAACATAAGCAAAATGTAGTCCATCAACTTTGACTATGTTCAATCCTCATGATGTAAACACGTCCTGCACGGCCGCTTAAATATAGGCTATACACCTTTTCAGATTAACACACAATGCTCATTAGCTAATTATAGCTTTATAGCACATACGATGGTAAAATGGTAAGCATTATTCCAGCAGTACATGTCGGCGTGTTATCATGCTGGTATTTGCATTTAACTCAATGCACAGTTGTACCTAAAACAGGCTGATAGAGAAGCTGGCTGTAGACTTTGTTCTATATTCTGAAGCATTTATCCTGACACACAACGCCCGATAGGACTGAAACTCCTCCCTCCATCAATTACTCCATTCACAACCACCCCTCCTATAAGTAGTCCAGCTGGCTAGAGGAGAGGTAAAGAGGGGAACGTCATTCTAATGAGGGAGGAGGGCAGATTTTGAGCTGCCAGAGGTGTCAATCTCAACAACAGCTGCAGACTAAACTGTTCTTGCATACACACATACATGGTGGGGCTCCTCACATGCACACACTTGCATCACACTCGATTTCCAAAAGCTAGATTGATTTCTCCTGAAGTGAATGGCCAAATAGACAATTGATTAGACACCCCTGGGGACAGGCCGCTCAGCGGAGAGACGGAGGAGCCATTGTGATTCAACCTTATGCTGTTCACACTCACATTGACTAGACACACATATTAACTCACAGCGAGTACTGCTTAACAAAAAATAATCTGCAAACTTTGTTCTGCTGGCACTGCTCACATGAAAGCCAGTCAAGCACAGAATGGAAATTCAAGATGTGAAGAGCCACATATAGGCTTAAGATGTTAAAGTTTTGTAATTGGTTTAATGGGAACAAAGAAACTCATCAACATGCAAACACAGACAGAACGCACACACATGCAGGCTCCAATTGGGTGATTTTAATTACCCTAAACGTGAGCTTTGTTTAACATCAGCGTCAAATTGATTAGATACGGTCTGCGAGATTGCACATGCGCCCGTGTGTGCGTGTGTGTGTGTGTGTGCGGAAGACTCTGTCCTGACCCCGGTGGGCCCAGCTGGCATGCTGGGGTGGGGCGGTGCAGAGGTGGTGGTGATGGGTGAATTAGGGATGCAAATATCCCTGTCAGCTCCCGAGGGGTGGAGATGAATTACACTGATCTGTTTTAAACTGAGTGTGTGTGTGTGTGTGTGTGTGTGTGTGTGTGTGTGTGTGTGTTTGTGTGTGTGTGGCACACTACAGTCCAACGTCTTTTGTTCATTGTGTTTTTTTGCTTGTTTTGTCATCTCGCTATACTTGTGAACACACAGTCAAACTCTGAAAAGGCTGTATAAGGAGCTGAGGAACCTGTCATAATTTCAGATTAATAAAATGATTTTTATTTTATCCAACATAATTAAATGTATTTTTTAGGACTATTTCCACCAGATTAATAGACTTTAGTGCAAGAAAAAGGACATGGGTTCAATAAAGAAGGAACAAGTTAAACAATGTGAGCTATGGATTTTTACCTAATACCTTAATAACATATGAAAGGAAGTCTTCTTCTTAAAAGTAGAGGACGATTCATGATGTGGATGCCTGACTGTTACTTGGCAGGCAGCAAATGAAAAAATAAGAGTGAAACTGTTGTCTCCTGGGTTACCGCTGTTGGGTCACTCTCCATTAGAAACAGAACAAAAACCTCCCCAAAGACACACTAATGGCTCTGTCCTTGCAGGACTACTTGGCCATTATGTGTTTGTGCAGCAACGCGGCATCCTTTTGACAGTGCGTCTCTGTGCGGTGCGCCTTCATGCGTCTCTTCACACATGAGCGTGTGTCTTTACCAGTATGAGGTGCAGTTATGCAGAATATCTACGAATATAGGTTTGAATAATGGCTCCTGATTCCTTCCTTTCCTCCTGAGTCCATTTGTCCCTGTCCCGTCCACACGCGTGCACATATGTTAGTGTCACCCTAACGCTCCCCGGGCCACGGTGCCCTTATCGCATGATAGATGCGTGTGCTTGTGCCTCGCTGCTAATGCACCATCGAAGGGACGCGCATCCAGCGATGTGTTCAAGTCTTTACAATAGTTATAGGTTTCCAAAGTGTTTTTACAGCAATCCTGACAAGAATCACACAAACAGGATGCCGGTAAAACCTTTGTGGTTCTGGTCATTGTTTTGTCATCTCTTTTGGAGTGTACATACAGATAGACACCTGTCACAATGTGAACATTAACCTGCTGAGCTACTAGAATGGTTCCTCATTTTGTATCTTGTTACCATTTAGTAAAACCCTCCCTGTCTCCTCGCTTTCTGTCCTCTGTTTCTACTCAGAGAAGCATCACACCCATCTGCTGACCTAAGAAAATAAGCAAAACAGGAAACATTACAACATCCAGCCATTCCTGCACATCTGGACAAGGCGGACACACGCAAATGTGCATCCGCGCGTACACACACACACACACACACACACACAGACACACATGCACTAGAATTCATCCGCTTCCGCCTTGATGTCGCAACAGGATATTAGACCCTTGAAGATCATATTTGATATGTGGCTTGAATGCCTAATGAGCCTATCGGAGCACAATACTGCATCTGTGCACACACAAACTCTGGAAAGTTGTTGGTTCAAGGGCAAAGATTGAACACATGATGAGCGCGTCGATGCAGAGAGAAGAGAGAAGACAGTCCGCGGTGGTTTGGAGCAGCTGACGGTGTTGTAATCCATTTAAAATTGGAAAACCTTATGATGGAGGAGATGAATAGATACTTTATTAATCCTGCAAGGGGGAGGAGATTTCTCTGCAGACACAGAGAGGCTGAGCAACACATGGAGTGTCTAAGAAACATTAATAAGTTAATAGACGGATTAAATTATAACTACTTTGATTCCTCTGCAGCAATCTCCTTCTCTTTCTTATGCTCTCAGTCTCTGAACATTGGCCTAAACACAAACACACACACACACACACACACACACACACACACACACACACACACAAACACTCTCCATAGCTCTTCAACCACAGCCCTATCTGCATAGAAGTCAGAGCGCTATGCTCTTAGAAGGTTTATTTCTCTGAAAAGGAAGTAGAGACTTCACCGTGGTAACACCAAAAGGACATTTAGACTCTGACTAAGGTTCAAATCACACAGAGGATAAACTGTGTGTATTCCTTTGTGCAATGCTGCACTGAAGAAGATTAGACGTGCGCGAGGTGCCTTGAGAGTAAAAACAATAAAGCGAGGCACAATCTAAAAACACACAAACGTAAACACATGTGGTATGCAGATGTGGCTGTCAAAAAAATATCACCTGTAGGGGAAAAGAATGTGTGTGTGTGTGTGTGTGTTGTTTATTTGAGATGCATCGTGGAGTTTAAATATCTAGAGCTACCAGCGGGATCTCTTGGGCTTCCTGTCTTTGCCTGAAAACTCTAAATACAAACATTTGCCGCACAAACATTCACACCCAGCCACACACTTACTACATAGCGGCGAAGGGCCAAAGCAGACCATAATGTGGGGCAACGTTTGGGTGTATTTTTGTTCAAGAGGGTTGTTTCCGGTGAAACTGTATTTTACGATGTGCTTAAATCCAGCTGCAGCTCCGCTCTCACATGTCAGACGCACAGTCTGCACTCCGTTAATAAGGTGGAGGGTAAGACGGTAGAACCGATGACAGCAAGGAAGCTTGGCAG